GGAACAGCTTTTCTAGGGGAGCGGCAAGTTCTGGAGCACAAGTCTTTGGCACTATTGCCGAAATGTTGTAGTATCCAATGTCTCAAACCATTTCTTGATATCATGGGGAGTGAATCAAATTGGCTGGTTTGATGTGGTGAAGACTGGTATCTGAATTGCTGGGGACCACTGGATGAGGCCAAGATCAATAATCCACACAGTACTCCTGGCTAAAGATTGCTGCGAAAGCTTCAGCCTTATCATTTGCACTGATGTGCTGGGCTCTTCCATCATTGAAGATAGGGATATTTGTTGAGCCTCCTCTTCCGGTGAATTGTTTAATTGTCCACCAACATTCATGACTGGTTATGGCAGAAATGCAGAGCTTAGATCTGATCCATTGGTTGTGGGATCACTTAGCTCTGTCTATCACTTGCTGCTTATGCTGTTTGGCATGCAAGTAGTCCTGTTTAGTGGCTTCACCCGGTTGACACCTCATCTTGAAGTATGTCTGGTGCTGCTCCTTGCATACCCTCCTGCACTCTCCATTGAACCAGGGTTGCTCCCCTAGCTTGATCGTAATGGTTGAGTGGGGGATACCCAAATGAGGTTACAGATTGTGCTAGAGTACAATTCTGCTGCTGTTAATGGCCCACAGCGCCTCATGGATGCCCAGTCTTGAGTTGCTAGATCTGTTCAAAGTATGTTCCATTTAGCGTAGCGATAGTGCCACACAAATCCACATTGTCAGAGGATACAACAGGATATAGATCAGTTGGAGACATGGACAGAAAAATGGCAGATGGACTTTAATCTGGACAAATGTGAAGTTATGCATTTTGGAAGGTCAAGTACAGCTGGAAATTATACATTGAATGGCAGAACCCTTAGGAGTATTGATAGGCAAAGGGATCTGGGTGTGCAGGTCCACAGATCACTGAAGGTGGCAGCGCAGGTAGATAAGATAGTAAAAAAGGCCTATGGCACACCTGTCTTCATTGGAAGGGGCACTGAATATAAGGATAGGCAAGTTACGCTGCAGCTTTATAGAACTTTAGTAAGGCCACACTTGGAATATTGCATACAGTTCTGGTCACTCTACTGGACGGACATGGATGTTTTGGAGAGGGTACAAAAAAAGTTTGTCAGGATGTTGCCTGGTACGGGGGATTTTAGCTATGAAGAAAGGTTAGGTAGACTGGGTTTGTTAAAAATTGTAAATGGTATGATTAGAGTGGAAAGTATGAGGATTTTTTCCCTAGGGTGCAGGGGTCAATTACTAGGGGACACATATTCAAGGTGCGAGGGGGAAAGTTTATAAGAGATTTACGAGGCAAGTTTTTCTCACAAAGGGTGGTGAGTGCCTTTGTGGAACACACTGCCAGAGGATGTGGTGGAAGCGAACACAATAACAGCATTCAAGAAGCATCTAAACAAATGCATGAATGGGAAGGAAATAGAGAGATACGGATCCTGTACATGAAGACAGTTTTAGTTTGGAAGGGCAAAATATGTTGGCACAGGCTTGGAGGACCAAAGGGCCTGTTGCTGTGTTGTAATGTTCTTTGGTCTTTGTTCTTTAACATGATGGACATGATTCTCAATGTGAAGGTGGGACTTTGTCTCCACAAGTACTGTGCGGTAGTCGCTCTTACCGATATTGACATACATCTGCAGCTGGCAGATTGGTGAGCATGAGATCAAGAATGTTTTTCCCTCTTGTTTGTTCCTTCACCACCTCCTGCAGAACCAGTCTAGCAGCAATGTTCCCTCGAACCCAATCAGCTCAAACAGTACTGCTGCTGAGCTACTCTTGGTGTTGGACATGAAATCCCCCTCCCAGAGTACATTTTGTGCCCTTGCCATCCTTAGTACTTCCTCTAAGCATTGTTCAACATGGAGTAGTACCGATTTATCAGCCAAGGAATGTTTATACATGGTAATCAGCAGGAGGTTTCCTTGTGATGTTTAACCCAAAGCCATGAGACTTCATGAGGTCCGGAGTCAATGTTAGGATTTGAGGGTTAACTCCCTCCTGACTGTATACCACCATGTTGCCACCTCTGCTGGGTCTGTCCTGCCGGTGGAACAGGACATATCTGGGGATGGTGATGCCTGGGATGTTGTTTGTAAGGTATGATTCCATAGTATGACGATGCTAGGCTGTTGCTTGACTAGTCTGTGCGATAGGTCCCCAGGTGTTAGTAAGGAGGACTTTGCAGTGTTGGCTGTTTCTGCCATTGTCTTTTCCTGTGTCTAGGTCAATGCAAGTGATCTGTCTGGTTTCATTTCTTTGAGACTTTGTAGTGATTGGTGCAACTGAATGGCTTGCCTGGCCATTTCAGAAGACAATTAAGAGTCAACCACATTGCTGTGTGTCTGGAGTCACATGTAGACCAGACCAGGTGAGGATGGCAGATTTCCTTCCCTGAAGGATATTAGTGGACCAGATGCGTTTTTTTTTCCTGACAATCGACAATGATTTCATGGTCATCAATAGATTCTTAGTTCCAGATTTTTGTTTATTGAATTTAAATTCCACCATCTGCTGAGTCCGGCTTCGAACCCAGTTCCCCAAAACATTTGGTAAATTTCTGGATTAATAATCTAGTGATAATACCAGTAGGCCATTGTCTTCCTGATGTGATGTTTTCAAGGTCTCTCTCAGCTGAGGTGTATATTCATATACATTTCTGAGAAGGACCTTTAAAACAGAGCTCCATATTTAATTTACTTATCAGGCTAAATAAATCAGCTTCTTGTACAAGATTATAAGTTATCATAATAGAAAACAATATCCTTGTCACTTATAAGCTAATTGTCAAGTACACTGTATATTGTAATGATCCCATTGATGATTAATACTGAACAATTGTCAAACTGAATCCTGGCTTGATTAGTCATTGAAGATGTGCACGTGAAGCTATCAATGTTCTTTAACTGAAGAACATAAGTTTATCACACAAAAACGCAAAGCTTCATATATAAGACAGTTTACAACAACTGTAAAATAAACAGCAAAGATACAACCTGTTCTCCAGCAATATCCTTTACAGATACTCAATCCCAGTGAAGTGGCACTCGTATTTTAGTTATTAAATCTCTAACTTAATTGACTGTCTCCAGTTTTGATGGGCTGGGGATTCCTTTCCTAGTTCTGATAAACTAAACATTTTCTTTGTTCCTAAACCTTAAAAAGTTCTAAACAAACCCTCACATTTTGCAGATTTCACAAATAAAAACCTTCTATCAAGGTAAATCTATTCTTCTGAACTGAAAGGGGCAGAAACTTCCAAGACCCTGAACAACACTGCAGGTCACTTGGGAAAATCGAGTAACATAAGCAGATTTTCAACATTGAAAATAAAAAGTTCAATTCTCCAACCAGTTGGCTGGGTGGCTTGTTCATGAAGTAGGTGACGCCAACAGTGTAGGTTTAATTCTTACCCCAGTTGAGGTTACCAAGAAGTTTCCGCCTCTCAAACATGTCCTTATTTGAGGCACGGTTACTCTCAGGGTAAACTTATCTCCAGTCATCTCATTCTAATGATAGCAGCTATATGGTCCTATGGGACTATGCTGACTTTACCTCCATGGAGAGTTCCATGATTGTAACCCACTTGTAATGAAGAGATGGTAATATATGCCTCCTTCTGTACAATGTCATTCTACGATTCTATAACTCAGGACCGTAAATTACTTGGAGAAATTGAACATGTTGGTGTTCTCATGATCATGGAACACCAGCATAGGATTGGACAATAGTTTATTTGGCATGTATTAAGGATTGATTAACAAATATAAACAGAGAGGAGGAATTAAAGGATTATTTTTGGAACGGCAGTGTGTAACTAGTGGTGTGCCACAAGGTTCAGTGTTTAGGGTTCAGCTATTTATAATCCAAATGAATGACTTAGATGAGGAAACTGGATATATCTAAGTTTTTCCTGACAATCAACAATGGATTCATGGTCATCATTAGACTCTTAATTCCAGATATTTTATTGAATTCAAATTCTACCATCTGCCATCGTGGAATTCAAACCCAGGTCCCCAGGACGTTATCTGGGTCTCTGGATTAACAGTCCAGCGATAATACCACTAGGCCATCGCCTCCCCATAAAAAAATGCCTTTGGTGGTGGTGGGATGGGGACGGTGCAACAAAAGTTCACCAGATTGATGGGATGGGAGAGCTCTTTTATGACGATAAGTAAAATAGGCTATGATGTCTATTATGAAACAATGAGAGGTGAACTTATTAACTGTACAACATTCCTAGTCATGTAAAGAACATGTCTTTTAGTTTTCATTGTTTTTGGAATGTAAACTTAAAAAGGAAATTACAGATATTGCTTTAAAAGAAAAGTCTGTGCAAAGAGATTGCTACAGTTTTAAAAATCATGTTTACTAGAACACTTTCTGAATTGTATGCAATGTTGCATTTTCCTGGGACAGTGACAGCGTAAGCAGACATCTTGGAGCTGATGCATCCTGAACTAAAGGAAAAATTCTTGACAACAATGACCTGATTGGCTCTTGACTAGGTGCCTATGACTTCTGTGGAGTCAGTGTGGCAGAGAACCACCTAGCCTGCAAAGACAAGGCATTGAAAAACTTCTTGGAGTCTCCTTCTTTCGTGAAAGTACTGGAAAGTATCTGCTCACTGCTTTCCACCCATTTCTCACTGCAAATTTCCTGTTGAAGGAAATAAAACGCCTTTTGAAGATAGTAAATTACGAATTCTGAACCAGTGAATGAAAGAAACCTTCAATGTGCTAACAACCTTGTGTCAATTGCAAAGAGCTAAAAAGCAATTGAAAAGCAAGAAAAAGCAACTCATCGTCTCCTGTGATCTAGACAGGTGCTATTGAACTGTGTTTCCCTGTTTCTTTTTCCCCACTCAGTATCCATGTTTTGCCTGTCTTTTTATGTCAGCCTGTTTGCGATGGGATAGAGTTTAAGAAGGGATAGAGTTTAAATTGTAAAGTTATGTCAGCAATTCATTTTTCCTACATGCCATGTATAAAGACATTTATTTCATTATGAAGTTAGTTTCTTAAGCATAGAATACTGATCAGTGGTTTCTTTTAAGCAGAGTCCATCAGTTGGGTAATTTGGGGATTCTGAATAGTTTGACTGTATATTTTCAAATTTGCAATGATTTGGGGAATAGTGGGGCTTGATTTCAAGTGCACTACCATAGTGAGTCATGACAGAGGCTTCACATCGTTAGGTCCCGAAAGGCTATTTTGCCTGGCTGGAGAATCCAAAACAAATGGATGTAGTCTCAGGATAAGACGTCAGCTGTTTAGCACAAATGAGGAGAAATTTATTCATTGAGAAGATTCTGAATCCTTCTTTTTCTAAGATGCTGGCGGAGTAGGTGGGCTAAGCTCGGGGCTTGTCCAATCTCATCAGCTCTTTTTCTCTTTCTTTTTTACTTTTATTCTTTAGCCCTTTTCTTTTCCTTTTTTTTCTTCATGTTTCTTTTCTTTTATGTCTGGAGAGTGGCAGGTGAAGGAAGAGGCCTCCGGCAGCAACACCAGGACAAGCCGGACACGGCTTCACCCCAGCCCGGGGTCTCATGTCAAGGAAGGAGCAGGTCCCGGGCTGAATCTCCAGCCCTGGACTTGCACGCTAGGCCCAGGCACCTGAAGAAGTGGCAGTCTCGGCACAGCATGGTAGTCTTGCCCTGGCATGGCGACCTCCTCCCTGTGTGGAGGTCTTCTTTATCTTTGGCTTCCAGGTATTTTGGCGGCCTGGCAAGTGGTCTCATCCAGGAGTGATAGTCTCGGCCAGGCATGACAGCCTTCCTTGACGGAGGCTTCTGGCCCAGTAATACAGCAGGCCAGCATGGTGGTCTTGTCTCAGAATGGCAGTCTCATCCTGGCTGCATCTTCAGGATATTCCATAGTTGCTTAATTGCTTTTCCCAGAACCCAGGAGCCGTTAACTGAGCTGTGATGAACCCTGTCTTAATTATACATTATTTATTATTACGTATGACTTCTGTCATTAGGTGTCGTGTTGAGGCGATTTACAAAACTTTTCACTGTATTTTTCATGTAAAAGTACACATAACAATAAATTTCTATTCTATTCTGAATTCTCTACCCTATTGGGTTGTAAATGATCAATCAGTAAATATATCCAAAACTGAAACTGATAGATTTTTGGGAACTTAAAGCGATCAGAGATATGGGTGGTCATAGACTGAGAAAGTGGTATTGATGTGAGAAGTTCAGCCATAATCATATTGAATAGTGCAGCAAATTCAAAGCCTTATAGGCTACTCTTGTTCTTATTTCCTTATGTTTGTACACCAGCTCCCCTTGTTCTTCTAGGTGGTGGTATTGTCAAAGGATATTTGGGGAAATGAAATATTTTGTGTTAAATATCAAAATCCTTCTATAAATTTACCTTCAATCAGGCTTCCTTTCAAATAATCACCAACTTACTTTAGAAAAGTTCAATTAACTGGCACTAAAGAATAAATGGACAAAAGAACTTGCATTTGTATAGAGTGTTTCATGTCCTCAGGATGTCCCAAATTGTATTATAGCCAAAGAATTCCTTTTGAAGTGCAGTTCCTGCTATTTTGATAAACATGAGAGATTATGAAGTACAAAGAGTTCTGTGTCCTGGTCAAAATTTCTCTTTCAACTAACAGCAGCAAAAACAAATGAGATAGTCAGTCATTTCATTTGTCAATTGTGGGAACTTGCTATGTGAAAATTGTCCACTGCCCTTTCATACATAACAAGCATTTAAAAAGCAATTTACTGAGTGTGAAAGTTCTTTTTGATATCCAAAGAACTCGATAAGGAACTGTATGAATCAATTCTTCTTGTCTCCTGCAAATGAACAACAGTTACACCCAAACCTTTATTTCCTTTCTCCCCTTAACACTAATCAGTTACTTATCAAACAGAACCTCTTTGTTTATCTTTACCCTCAGATTTCTAGGTTTGTGTAATTTGTGTAATTTGCATCATCAATTTTGTCTCTCTGATAGTTTTTGCAGGAAATCATCAGTTTAGATGCTGGGCATAAACAGAATTGGATAGAAATGTGTATAGACACTGTCCAAACCAAGATATTAATAACAGCTGTTTGGACGTTGTATGGCAGGGCACTTGTGCTTTTGAATTGCACCCCAATGAAACTTATTACTATTGGCCTAACCCTAACCCTAACCCTATCGCCTCTCTGCTCCTATGATGCTGCTTGGCCTGCTGTGTTCATCCAGCCCTGCACCTTGTTGTCTCGGATTCTCCAGCATCTGCAGTTCCTACTATCTCTGATTCCATTACTATTGGATAAGTTGGGGCAAAGGTAAAGTAGGAAGATTAGGCAAAAATCCTTAATTACACAATTATCATTATAATTCTCAGTACAGTCTGCACTCATTAACTATTGAAGTGGAATACAGTTCTTGGCACAACTTTATGCATGAGCTTTAGTAGACTGTTCAACATGGAGAATGGCACATTTGGATATTCAACAGATCATTGTCAGTTTGTGCCAGGGATAATAGAAAACCACCTAAAGCAGAAATCCTGGTTGTCTCCTCTCACCCCTGCAACCTCTTTTCTAGACTGGGTCACTAATGCTGACTGGCACCCACTGGCTGAGGTCAGCTCGCTGAACACAACGAGGTTTATAAATCAAACCTCTAACAGTTTCGGAAGAGTTCCTATTTCATTTGAAAGGTTTGTACGAACAGTAATTTTTAAAGCACATTTCAACCCCCCCCGGAAAGGGTATTTTCTTTGTTTGAGCTCAGGGTCAACAGGAACTGCCTGTCCCTTTCAAGGTCTTCCAGAAGATTTTTTTCTCCCCCCACCCCCATATGATCTTTGCAACCTTTCATCTGTTGTTCGATAGTGCGGGGCCGTTGCATTTTGGTCTGCTCCAGATATACCGAGACTTCGCCCGTCGTGTCAGCCTTCCAACCGCCGGTAACTTTTTTATTCGACCCCGAAAGAGTTAAGTTTTGTTGACAAGGCAAGGAAGGGCCTCGCGCATGCGTAGACGCGCCGCCGGGGGTAGAAGCGGCAGTCTCGGCGAGTGAAGAAGCATCGCGCTCGCAGGGTGTTGCTGTCACGATTCCCCTGTCATTTAACCGACAGATTTAAAACGGGAAGCCGACAACCCAGCGACCTCTTGTATGAGAATGAGATTTGTCGTGCTGGGGACTCCATAGATGGCTCTCGTAACGGTCCAGCGGTCACCGACACCCAGCACCACTTCAAGCCCCTGTGTTTCGGTGAGTATTTCACCTACCCTTCTTCCTCCTTCCTCCTCCCTCCGTTCAACACCGTCCCTCAGAAAGGCGCTCGCTGCCCCAGTGCGCCTGCGCAGCTCCACCGGCGGCCCCTCTCGGCTGATCGCGCGCACTGGGGTTTTAAAAATAAACGTTTTCGAATGTCGCGGATCGGTCTTCCCTCCTCGCCCGCCTCACCATCCCACCATGAACTGCAGTGGCGAATCTATTTATTGGCGTGATTCAGCCGTCTCCCACCTTCCTGCACGGTGAATTGTCCATCGATGGCCGTTTAGCTGATTAATCGAACATCATTTAAACTCTCGTTCGTGCTTCCTGTTTGAAAGTCGAGAGATAGGCCCAACTTTCCTGTAGTAATTTTAAGTTCACGTACAATAATCAAACGATTTTTATTGTGTGTTGCGAGGACGGGGGTGTACAGCGATTGATGCGTGCAAGAATGCTTTTAATTGCAGTATGGTATTAACGATCGTGGGGTGTAAGCTTCATTTAGTGTAGTAAACCCTAAAGGAAATTCTTTGCAAAGTGCATTGTGTGTAAAAGGGCAATTCGGAGTAACTATTGACAACGGTCACGTTTTGCATCATCGGTCACCTCGCAGCGTAGTTGGTGTTGGAAACCGCTATTGCCAAGGCTGCTATTACTGGAGGCGTTTCCCAATGTTGTGCTCCGTTGTAATCTGGGATAAATGTGTCTCAAATAGTAACTCTAAACCCTGGAAACCGAGTCTTGTCTGCATCTCTGTTTCTTATTAGCCTGTTTGGAAAGGGCAATATTTAGTGTTTTTATTTTTAATTGGTAGCTAACTCCTGAATCACAGCATCAGTTTCTTGGCTTTTTACTATAGTAAAGCAACGTATAGCTTTACCCAGCTCACGTGAAACGTTTAAAACTAAAGTATTATATATGCCCCTGGCCAGAAATGAACGGTTCCATATTCCATTATAATTCTGAATTTATCATTTTCTGATGTAGTTACATGACGTTTCAATCAAAAATAAAGGAATATATTGAATCTACCACGCAGTGATTGCATATTTCGTCGACTGCATGTTGAACATAATTTGGCTGTGAGGCAGGCTGTTCACTGTCTTTTTACATTTTTGACGTACCCGTTCTTATTTTGCAAATAACCTTACTGGTTTAAATCCCCGAACCAGACCTTTAAATACTTGATTTGACTGAAGATTAAGCTGGTTTCGGTAATACAGTAAACTCTTATGCATTTATTTTGCATACAATGTAATTTGTGTTTTCATATCCAAAAAAATGCAAAAGGTTCATTTCAAAACGTTGATTATTTTTCAAATGTAATAAGTGAACCACTTGATGGGAATGGAAGTCAGTTTGAGGGTTAAATTTAGTCATTCATTGCAATTCATAATTGTTAGCTTAAGGTTTATTGATAAAAGTTTAGAAGGCACTTTTACATTTCTCACTTGATCCCAGACCTGTTGTAGCAAATCTGAACAAAGGTAAGAAAAAATGGGATTCGCATAAAACAATGTTGTTTCAAGTCTGAAAATAGTAATCATTCTATGAGTATTGTACACTATTAAATTAGTGAAAAGAGTTTTGTTTTTGATCATCAAACCCATTAAAATTGCAAATCTATTCTTTTTTAATGATTTTTTTTCATAACATTCCAATGGTAATGGAGTAAATTTCACCTATTTTTCCATTTTCTTGTAAAGGTGATATCTTGTACAGTGATGCCCCCTGTACCGAAGTAACCATGGTTTTGTGTTTCCAATTAAGCACTGGAGTGTCAGCAGCTTATTATTCTTTGAGACATCACAGTAGAGGCCAAACCTTTCCTTCCTTAGTGCCAAAAGATTACAAGTGAGGTGTGATCACTTGGTTGAAATTACAAGTGAAATGCTGGCTGAAATATTTTCTTTGTCAATTTCACAGAGACCTGAGTGGTTTTGGCTCTACCATTGACCAGCTGATGTTGTATCTCATAGATTTATTTACTTTCAAAATATTGTTTGCATCTTTAGCTTCAAAATCCTTTTTGACCACAGATTTATATGATGCAAGGATATGTACGCAAACTTAAAAAATTATATATACAGCTTGTGGCATCGATCTTATTTTAATTATTTTTAGAAACCACTCAGTATTTTCAGTCACTGATATTTATTATTGCATTTATGAATACATGGATATAGTGCTGAAAAAGCTTCAGATGATTTGGGGCAGTTTGCAATATTATCAAGCAGATATTAGTATTAAGCTTTGACTGATGCTGTGGCATGTGTAGTTTATCCTTGTTTTGCAAAATGAAGTACCTGTGTAGCTTCGGAGAACCTCACATGCTGCACACCGCTTGTGATTGAATGGATAGATGCGCAGAAGCTTAGGACAATGAATTATACAGATTAGGGAGACCCAGAGTTTAGTCACTTGTTAGTTGTCTCATCCCTGCAGATAAAGAAACCTAATCCTAACCCTATTTAAGTCAAAGTTGACCCCTCACTCCACAGATGTAGCCAAGTCCGCTGAGTATTTCTAGCATTTTGGTTTTGTTAATTCCAGATTTCCAGCATTTGCGGTATTTTTGCATAGCGTCTGCCTGGTTTATCTCGTACCAGTGTAACAAACTTGTGCTGTTGCCGGCTTTGTGAATTTACCGAGGAAGGGTCTGATCTCCCCTTTAATGTGTCTACTGTGTCATTGCCTGGGGATAAACCTCACCCTAAGTTAAAGTAGTGTAGCTGTGGTAATTTAGATATATCGTGAATGATTTGGTTTGTTTTGACCTGTTTGGTTGGAATGGAGTTAGTCTGGCCCTGAGTGAGTGTATTGAATTGGCAGATAGGAGCAGCTAGTCTTGTGTTTGGAATGTTTCTGACACTTTTTTTAGTTGTGGGCAGTCATTGAAGAATTTCTGCCCCTTGAAGTCTCTGCTCAGAATTGTATCACCCATGGTTACTTTTGCTCTGATGTGAATCAGGTCCATAATTTGCTGAGGGAAGGGCTGGAAACAACTTTTTAAGGACCATTAATCGGTAAGCATGCAGATTAGAGTATGTGTCTTGCTATGAGTTATGGAGGTTCTGAATGAATGGACAGAAATATGAAGAAAATGTGCTCATTGGAGTGTGATTTATAGGCACAATTAAGCTAGTATGATACAGCTCTAAGAGGATTTGTTTATGTGGCAACAGATTAAATCTCAGTGAAAAATCTAACAACTTTACCATAAGAAGCAACATTATAGTGCATTAATGCAGGTGAGAATGTAGGAAATTAACACTCATTCTAAGGTTGGATTAATAAACTGCCCCAAATATAGAAGGACAATATTGAGTGGTAGTGAGAAAAGGCCCTTTATGGTTATAACTATTGGCCTTTTGAAAACAGAAATTATTTTGAGTATCCATTATGGAGCCATAACTGGTTAGCTCTGTCCTAGGTGAGAGAGAATAGGTCAAATAAGGTCAAAGTGTGACTTGAAAAATAATTGGGAGCAAACTAAATCAGAGATTTTAGCAGTTTCAGGAAAAATATTATGTGTTGGTTCCTTTTACCGTTATTATCAGTGTTGTTGATTTGAAATCCTGATTTTGGCAGCAGCACACTAAGATGTATTTGGTGCAATGCCTCTTTTCAGGAATGTGGAGATCCACCTCGATGGTTTTACAAGGATTTGTTTTCTTGGCCCATGAGATTCGGACAACTCCCAATCCCTTAAAGGTTCACCAAGCCAAACCAGTCTGAAAGTTAAATGAAAGCAGGTAAAGCTATCCATAATGAGAATTCCATGTAGTTCCTGCTGATCATGGAGTCACCAGGATATACGTTAGGCCACTTTTGGAATACTGCATGCAATTCTGGCCTCCTGCTGTAGGAAGGGTGTTGTGAAACTTGAAAGGGTTCAGAAAAGATTTACAAGGATGTTGCCAAGGTTTGGAGGGTTTAAGCTATTGGGAGAGGCTGAATAGGCTGGGTCTGTTTTCTCTGGAACATCAGCGAATGAAGGGTGACCTTTATAGAGGTTTATAACATCATGAGGGGCATGGATAAGGTAAATAGGCAAGGTCTTTTACCTGGGGTGGGGAATCCAAAACTAGAAGGCATGGGTTTAAGGCAAGAGGGGAAAGATTTAAAAATGACTTAAGGGGCAACTTTTTCACGCAGAAGGCAGTGTGTGTGTGTGTGGAATGAGCTGCCAGAGGAAGTGGTGGAGGCTGATATAATTACAACATTTAAAAGGCATCTGGATGGGTATATGAACAAGAAGGTTTTGGAGGGATATGGGACTAGATTAATTTAGGATATCTGGTCAACATGGACGAGTCAGACCAAAGGGTCTGTTTCTATGCTGTACAGCTCTGTCTCTGACCAAGCTACAAATAATGGCTTGAAACATAGTGAGTAGTTGCGGATTTGTATGTGATGATCTCCTCTGGATCTGTGCATGGTTGGGGTACTTGAGGCAGTACTAGTGGTGGCACTGACCATATTCATTTTACAGACTAGTTAGGCAAGCTCCAGCTTGGAGCATATGTTGGCAGAAACATGAGTTTCCACTTGATGGTTTGAAAATTTTTAACTTGGCTGCTGTTGGATATCCTTGCCACAGTTTGCAACTTTCTAACAACTGCAAGTACACAAGATAGATGATGACAAGTAGCTGCAGTTGGTTGGTTTTATATACTGACCTGTAAGTAGTTTAAGTGGTGAATCTTTATCTTGAAAATAAAATGTTTTGAACAAAAATTTTACATTTTCAAAGCCAATGGAATACAGTCAAACTTGGGTATGTAAACTATGTAGTGACATATTGCCTGCTGGACTTTCTGATTCAACAGTTTCATCTTTGCTGGAAGACTTTTTTTTTATTATTCTTTTATATTTTTCTGAACACATTTGTCTGCCTCTTTTTGAGAATGGAAATATTGTGCCCTGCACTGTCTAATTCATATTTCAGTGGAGTACCTCAAGTGAAATGAAGCAAATGGTTAAGTTTCACT